TGAATGGTAGTATTAGTGCAAACGCAGAGGCATTGCAGTCGAATGGAGAGGTTATTTGAGGTACGAAACCATTTTGAATACTAACTGGGAACGGTTCCATACGAAACCATATTTATACGAAACCGAAAAAAGGTTTAGATTTCGTTGCAAATCTCGGAACCTTTTCTAAGTTCCGTATGGAACTTTTTTTTTTCAGTGTTCGCTAACACTTTACGGTTTGAATCATATAAGAAAGTCCGAGAATTGCTTTGAAAAAAAATAGTTGATGATTTTGCGAGACATCAATTTCAACGTGTCTATATGGGGATCTAGTTGAGCTCCTCAAACATGAAAATTATGTTTTTTACTGGTCAAAATTACATCAGTAGATTCAGATTTTCTTGCTGAATTCGATGATTACAGTTTTCTAAACATAGAACATTGTTAGACTAGGTAAATTTCGATTTTTCTCAAAAAAAGTGAAATATTCGTTTTTTCAGGTGCAGTTTGTATTTTAAAAATTTCACAACCAAAACGGAAGCCTAGAAAGATTTAAAAGATGATATTCACGATCTACTAACCAAGCTCTATCTAACGATATAATGATAAAATGATTTTTCTCCTGTTCGATTTTTCACTTTGGTGTACCTTAATTGTGTTTGAACATCACTGTTCGTACTTCATTTAAACATTCAAAAATCCATTCAGCAAATCTTTCAAAAAAGAGAAAAAAATATAGTGAAAACATGCAATATGATAGTATTCTACTTTAGTTCGCCTTCATTTAACATAACATAGCCTATTAATCCAATACAATGAGCAAGTTCAGATCGACTAGTTTCATGAGATCTTTAGAAAATAAAGAAACATTCAATGTAAAAATATTTGTTAATGCTAAGCGAACCTTTCTTGAAACTGTTCGAAAAGTATGTTGAGTGCTGGTTCAGCTAATTTCATAATCAACTGAATAATAGAGTGACAAAGAAAACATTTAGATTTAAAAAAATATTCTAATCACTTTGTTACTATTGGATTTTTCAAGATAGGCTTGAAGTTCTTGAATACGTAAATCAAATCGTCGTTTATCACGAATAACTTTTTTTTAACAAAGGTGCACATTTTGAATCATCATCACCAGCACAGATTTTACGTAAATCCTCAGACATTTCTTTCAGGTTCTCGTCGTCAACACGATTGCCCGAGGGTGATCGACAATTATTGCCACGTGATTGATGCATAGAACCATAATAACGATTATTATGAGATGAATAAGATGAGATTACCTTTTTCTTTTATAACATCGATAAAAGAAAAAAATCTGTTTTAAAAGTTGCAAGATTCTTTTTGATAAAGTTATTTTGATGTGTATGGAAATTTTTTAATTTTTTCCATTGATGAATTTATTTTACTTCAAAAAGTGAGCTAATAACTGACATTTTTTACTTCTTCACATAACTACGAAGCTGTCTAATAATGATAAGAACCAATCGAACATCACTAGTTGATCCTTATGTTTGATGTTAATAGGAAAATTCTTTCATAGCCATTGTAGTGACATTTCGTTTGTGAAACTCATCGCAGAAAAATTGAAAAATACGTAGTATTGTAGAATACTTGATGTACACTATTTCGATCGGTCTTTTTTCTGATGCAAACATGCGAAGCAGATGTCGCCATCAGTCAGCTCATTATGTAGTCAATTGGAGCTTTTTTCTATACTTTGTTTTGTAAAACTATACATATGCACTATATATAAGGAAGAAAAACGCTTGCATATGTATACCCAGGTCAATGATTCCGGAGGACGGATACTGTAGGAACCGGCCGGAAAGATGCGGAAAAATCACCGTATCTGGCCGGAAAGCACGGGAAAGCACTGGAAACTGGAAGCAGTATTCCAGTTGGAAGTTACCGGATTTTTTTCCTGTGGATTCCGGTCAGTTTCCTGTGCTTTCCGGCCGTTTCCCGCCGTACGTCCACGACCTGGGTATCTGTTTTTATTTAACATCGTCACGCATGCTATGGTCACCAATAAATCACTACTGCAGTGCAAAGACATATTCGAAAAGAAGGAATATAGCAACGAGGAAAAAGTAGAGGTAACGACTTTTTATTCTTCCTACATTAAAAATATCTTATTTTTTTTTATAGATTTTGAATCAATTACTGAATGGATGTAACAAGCAAGATGAAAAAACAAAACATTATGCTAGTAGAGCACTTGTCCACTTTAATATGCGAAAATGGAATGGTAAAAGTTTAGTTATGACTACAATATCGAACTATTATCTTTTAGAAGCATTGGTAGACATATCTGAAGTCGAAAAGTGCCATCTACTCAATGGAACCTTATCCATTATCAAACAGTAAGTTCTTTTTATATTTTTAAGTTTAACATTATTGTTCGACTTTTTATAGAAAATCGTCTATTCAATTATATATGCATCGTGTTCGTAGATCGATTATAAATACCATCCATTTAGATGGTAAGATTTTTCTTTTTGTGCGTATCTTATGCATACTTTATTAATTTAGTTGTGGACAATATAGATGATCATGTACATTTATTGAATTCGATAAATGAAGCATCAATTGATAATTTGATTGGTGCGTAGAATAGTTTTACTCATGTCGTGAATAAAATTATTATTCTTTTTTTTATAGATGACAAAAAGATGAACACACCAAATACGTCTAAACGAAAAAAAACAGAAAAAAATTTGTAATCGTAAAGAATGATTGTATATTTTCTGATGCTCAATAAAAGTTTGTTTTGAAAATGCTCAGAAGTTCAAAGATATTTTTCTAACGTTGTTTTATTAATCTGACGAAATCATATTCTTTATGGATCTATGCTTCACTAGAAAATGATAATAAAATGAAAGGAGACGTAAGATAAAAGTAAGCTTGTTATACGTTATCTCGTATATTGCTTTTGCCAGATTCTTACAAGTCAAACTATATAGATGACATACCGAGAGAATTATTGTTTAGAACTGCATCTTATTCAGTGAATCGAATATGTCGAAATTAAAGTGATGGAAAAAAGCTTTCGATGCTATTACTTCATTTTGTTTTTTTCTGTGTTGTTCATACTTATAGATGTACCTATTAGGGTATTCATTGAATATTGAAATAATATTTATTTGAAGTATTTTTATTGTTCTAGTAACTGCAAAAAACAGTAGAAATCCCACCTCGAAATATATTTGACATTGATTGGTATTCATCATTATGATTTTTATCACCAGAAAAAGGACTTTATACAAAAAGGTTATTGATTCTTAAATCATAATATTAAACATTCAAAGTGATATCATTCATTCTATGATTAATAGTCACATTGGACTTCTCATGTGTCCCAAAGAACAAAAGAGCTGATTATAAACTATTTTTCTTTCTCAAGAGATAGAGGTTTCCAATGAGAGATTTCGATGCGCCCAATTCCGTTTATATTCAGTCAATACGAACGTAATTATTTTATATCCTTTAAATTGATAATGACATCGGTCAAAAATAATCCAATTATTTATGAGAACTATATGGAGTTAGTTCAGGCAAAATTGCTGGATTCTTTTCAATCTACTCCTGTTCCTCAAATATTGAATTTTTTCTGAGGATATCACCCATGTGAAAAAAAATAGGGGTAAAATCAGATTAAAATCGATTACCGTTTTGATTAAAAATCGATTAAAAGGTGTATGATTATAATCGCTTTTTAATTGATTCAGAATCGATTTTAATTAGCTGAAAGCGGTTATAATCGAGGCAACGGTTGTTTCCGAATGCCACTGATTCCAACCAACTTCAGTTGATTTTTTCTGTTTCTAATCGACTAAAAATCAGCAAACAGGCGATTCAAACGAATTGTAATCCTTTGAGATCGATATTAGACACATAACAACATACCATCGATGACCTCCACTAATGCCGATTCACAACGAGAGACAGTAGAG